CTCCAGCCCCCCCCCCCCCCCCCCACCCCTCAAAAAATTAAAAATCCAATTAACCAAGCTACGGTTAGACTCTTCGTTTCAATTACATTTTTAGTGATTCTATAGTCCAGTATTCTTCAGGATTCCATGTAGCAATGATGTTCCTGTGTCCTATCTAGTACTCAATCAATATGTGTTTTCCTCATTGATATCAAATTTGATATCATACGTCACTCCTTAAGCCTGCAAGTCCAACATTTAGAAGTCTGCAAATCCACATTGTGCAACCTTGTTGAATGACGCAACTTTAGAACCCAAAACGTAAGGAACTTTTAACGCACGCTTATAAGTTGCGTTGACATCTACATCGATATTACAAGTGACAAGAAAAATGGGAAATTGAAATCCTGTACCAAGTTAAGAAACTATTTTCAAACTTTCAATTATCAAATAAATGCATGTATTTAGAGTTGGAGCTTCTACGGTGTTCAATCAACAATTAGTGGTAAATTTAGTAGAGGTTGACTTCAATGTTCTGTTACACAACTTGCTAGGAAACTTATTATCTGTTATGATATACGTTCTCTTGTTATTTTCTGTTTATTTCAACTGCAGCTTTATGTATATTTGGTAAGAAAGAAATATCCAGAGATTATGATATAAAGGATAAATTGTCCCCAAAGGAAATAAAAGCGTTTAGAAACATGCTTGATTGTATGTCTGTAAATCCTCATCCTTGCTCTTCGTCCTGCCGAACAACTTTTTCAAAGCAAGCGCTTTCCTTTTGGGCGAGTGGCTTATTTTACCTCGAATGTGCTGCTACCTTTCGTTGTTGCCTATATGTTCATATCACTTCCAATGATTGTGTGTGTACCAGTGGCATATAAACTCCTTGGCATTTGTCATCTGTCTTGTTGATGGGCTTGCCTTGACTGTCCTAATGCACATTTTTTGTTTTATCATTAATTTAATTTGTTATGCAAATTATTGATCATTTTTTATCCTCCCCTTTCCTACTGCCTCTCTTGTGTAGACTGATGGTAGCGTCCCAAATACACTTGTCATTGCAAATTGCGAAGTGGTAAAACCTAGGGTTGCAGCAGCAGAGCACATAGCACAGGTGATGTATTTACACAAAGATGAAGTAGTTCTCTATTTTCTATGAAACTATTCCTTTTTTTTTAATCCTCATAGGTTAATTTGAAAAAACCTCATCTTTACTACTTTTTCAATTGGTATTTCGGTTATCATCATATCAGTTCAACGAAGAAGCTCGCTCACCATTTGTCAAGAAGTGGAAAACCATTATACATCCTGGAGAGGTATCTATAATTATTATTGTTTTATTTGATTACAGAAAATAATAAGACGTAAAGATTCATATCTCTGATTTATTTTTTGAAATATAATCAAGGGTTCCGCTTATAATTTTTAATGTTCAGATACTTCTTTAAGCTTAACTTGTATATGACTCGTAGCTCAAATGTGTTTTAGATTTTATTATTTCTTCCAGAACTTGACTGTAAAATCTCAGATATTTACCTTATTTACAATTAAGCCCTTGTTCGATCCCCATTATTTACAAAATACATTTTTTCTCTCTCTTCTTTTCAAGCACACATTATTAAATAAAATAATATACACGTCAACCCAAAATTTTAACTTACTTTTTAACAATACATTACCCATCAATCTACTATTTCAAAATACATTCTCAAAAGAAAAAGGGACTCAAACATGCTCTAGATCTTTAAGTTAATAATTGTATTTGGAAAAAAAAAAAAAAGATAAATAAAAAATCGACTGTAGCATAAGACAAATTCTTATGGGTATCCTGGTGACCTGAATTAATCTCTTTATTCCCTCGTGTTCAAAAATGAAGCAACTATGTGGTGAATGTAGAAGCTTGTTGTCCCCTGATCTTAACCAAATGGGCGGTTGCTCTTTTGATTTCCGTTCTAAATTCCTTGTATCCTTTTGACATTTTCAAGACTTGCATGCTGCAAATGAAAATCATTGTATGTACCATCCAATATGGTTCGTTGAAACTTAATTTTACTGCGAGCAGAATTCTGAATCCCCGAACCCCCAGTAAATTCCCAGGAGAAAAGGGCAAGAAAAGGTATTTGAACTCCTACACCTCTAAAAACAAGGAGGAATAAATGGAATGAAAAATGTGGTTTCATGAAACTCAACATTTTTACAGTGGGGGGGTATCTTATGGCATGTGATGAATTTTTTATTGCAGGTGAATCGAATCAGAGAATTACCACAGAATAGCAAGATTGTGGCCACTCACACTGACAGTCCTGATGTAATGATTTTCTTCTGTGCATCATAGCTTACATTGTCTTCAATCCTTTTGTGTTTATTTCTTGGTTTGGTATATTCAAGTTTAGTGAACATACTTTTTATACGGTTCAATGTTTTTGAATTGGGTTAGGTTCTCATTTGGGATGTTGAAAGTCAGCCTAATCGCCACCCCGTTTTAGGTGCCTCACCATCTCGTCCAGATCTGGTATATTTTTCTAGGAAATGTAGTCTTGAATTTATTTTGAGTACTGGTATCATTAATGGACCTTGAAGCGTCTCCTGTTGTATGGCGTTCTCTTATTTGAATATTATTCCCTTTGACATTTTAATTTGTTTCCTTATTTTTTCATTTTTCTTTTCGATTATAAGGAACTTTTTCTTCTTTGTTGTTTCCTGCTTAATTAGCGATAATGTAGTTGCTTGATAATTTCTTACCCAATTCCTTGCAGGTCCTTACTGGTCACCAAGATAATGCTGAGTTTGCACTTGCCATGTGCCCTACAGAACCTTTTGTGCTATCTGGAGGTTAAATAACCAGTGCCTATAGATTCTTAAAGATTTTATGATATACATTCTATTATAATTTAATGATACTTTCAAAAGAGAATTGATTAGACGTCTCTCATAATTTCATAAACGATAGACCTTTTTTTTTTTTTCTTTTTAAGATATTTAGAAGTCTTCCATTATTTCATTGTTGGGACGCGTGTTTGGGAACTGAAAATGCATTTGTCCCCTTTTCTTATTTATTTAAAAAGTTCAACATTATGCATTTCATTTTGATTGAGATTTTGGCAGCTATTTACATTTATATTTTCCTGAAGATGTTTCTTATTTTTTCACTAAACGTGGGCTCTTGTCGAAAATTGAGCAAATGTGAAATTGATAGGAACTTGACTTTTGTCCTTTCCTCGATGTAGATGTAAAATATGGTAGTTTTTTAAAATATGTGGCTACGAACCGTTTAGTAATTGTATCCCTTTTGAACTGTACGAGTTATCAGTTGATGTCAATTGGTTAGTAGCAGAGGGACCTCAAGTTTTTAACTTTACTTTGTTCTGCTACAGTTAGTTCAACTATCTTGTTCTTTCCTCTATGCTTTTCTTCACTTTTCTGTTACAATATGTAATATTTTGAGAATTTCGTTGCAGGGAAGGACCAGTCAGTAGTTTTATGGAGCATCCATGATCACATCTCTTCTCTGTCAGCAGATCAGGGAGCTGCAAAGTCTCCAGGATCCAAGGGTGGTGCAGTCAATGGAAAACCTTCAGAGAGTCCCACCATTCAAGCTAGAGGAATTTTCCAAGGGCACACTGATACTGTTGAAGATGTTCAGTTTTGCCCTTCAAGGTTACTGTCACGGTCATAGGGCATGTTTAGGAGTAGAAGTTGCTTTCTTATAAGCTAGGGTCCCACAAATTGTGTGGACCAAAAATTATAAGCCCAGCTTCTAAGCCAGAGCTGGGAATTCCCAACTTATCTGGTTTATAGTCTAGGCTTATGGATCTTGGTCCACAATTCGTGGCACCCCAGCTTATAAGAAAGACAATTCTTTTTGCCTCAGATGCTCGGACTCTTTGAAATAGTTGGAGTACCCGTGTCGGACACGATACAACATGAGTGTGGGTATGGGATATGTGTCGAATCCTCCAAGTTTCAACCGGATACTTTGTCATTTATTTTTTTTAACCTTTTCTTTTCTTCTTTCCCGTTCTACTATCTATAAACCTAGCTTCGCCGCTGAGAGTGGAGAAGGCAGGGATTCTGGGTTTTGGATTTCCTTCTTTTTCTTCTTTCCCTCTCTTTATCGGTGGTTTAAATTTTTTTTTTTTTTTTGTATAAAATAAAAATGGGTTCCATATAATGTTATTTAGTTTTCCACTAAGTTTAAATTGCAATCAAGTCCCTCATTTTCTATTTTATATAACATTTAGTAATTTCCATAATTGGAAATCTATTTTATTCGTTTTAACCCCTTATTCAATACATATTTTCTTCTTTGTGAATAATTGATTTTGGCATATTCAAAATGCTGTCTTGGATTAGAAAAAATGAAGTTTGAAAGACGTGGGTTTGAAATTTGGACTCTTTTTAGTCATGTTCCTGTATCCAATATTTTAGAAAATAAAAGGTTCGACACTTAGATACGTACCCGTACCTAATACTCGTACCCGAGTCCGAGCATCACAGCTTTTTGCCAAACATGCTCATAATCAAACTCACCTACTTGTTTGAGATGGAAATTTACAAACATAGAGCATGTTTAGCAGCAGAAGTTGCTTTTCTTATAAGCTAGGGTCCCACAAATTGTGTGACCAAAAATTATAAGCTCAGCTTCTAAGTCAGATAAGCTGCAAATTCCCAACTTATCTGGTTCATAATCTAAGCTTATTGATTTTGGTCCACTATTTGTCGGACCCTAGCTTATAAGAAAGAAAATCGTTTTGCCAAACATGCTTATGATCAAACCCACCTATTTGTTTGAGACGGAAATTTAAAGATTATGTCTCGACTACTCCTAACAGATATGAACATCAGTCATGCATTGATATGACTTTTGAGTTTTAAGATCAGCTGATGAGTCAATTGGTAGTAATTTCTTATGAAATGTCGATGAATAATTTGTGAAGTTGCTCATTTTGTTGCTAAAGTCCCCATTATGTTATGAGATATGAAGAATTGTTTTATATTTAGTTATACTCGTTTCAACCTCTGATACAGTCCACAAGAGTTCTGTAGCGTTGGTGATGATTCTTGCCTTGTTCTGTGGGATGCTAGAACTGGCTCTGCTCCTGTTGTTAAGGTTACCTTTCTTCATTTTACATTTTTGAAAGGCTTATGATCAATGTGTGCATAAGATGTAGCTGATGTGTAGATTATTCTGTTTATCTTTTATTTTGTTATGGTTGTATTATCCATTTTCCATCATTTACCGCCTTACCTATGCTTTTGCGTTGCACTAATTTTACATGCAGCCTATATTTATTTACCTAAATGTCATCTGACTGGCCTTGGTGGTTCTTTTTTTTTCCCCCTCACAGGTCGAGAAGGCTCATAATGCTGATCTTCACTGTGTTGATTGGAATCCGATTGATGTAAATCTGATTTTGACGGGGTACTTTCTGACCCCTCATAGACTTAACTATTATAATCTTTCTAATCACATCAGTCGTAATGCAGGGGGACAATTTTGGTGAAGATGCCATTGTACTTGGTGACTTTTTAAATATGTCATTGCTCTGATGGCTTTGTATTTTATTTATATATTTGGAGTCTTATCATGGGATTGAACAAACTCTGCATCCTTCAGATCTGCTGATAATACTGTGCGTATGTTTGACCGTCGAAATCTTACTAATGGTGGAGTTGGATCCCCAATCCATATATTCGAAGGTCACAGTGCTGCAGTCCTGTGTGTCCAGGTGCCAGACATGTTTTTAAATAGGATAGTATCGTTATGCATGTATTATTAACTAGCAATTTAACAGTGATATATTTCTATTTCAGTGGTCTCCAGACAGGTCATCTGTCTTTGGTAGCGCTGCAGAGGATGGTATCCTGAATATATGGGATTATGGAAAGGTGTGGAGTCACAGTCTATTCCTAACTGCTTGCTTTATTCTCTCTCACCTCTTTACAAAATTTATGATATAGCATGGAGTTTTGAAGCTTCTGACAAGATTGTTTTGTCAAGAAGAATTTTGCAAGTTTTTCATTGTTTATGAAGTGATCTACTCTTTAGATCATGCTTGAAGTCTTTATTCTTGACCTAGATTGGCAAGCTGGAGGGTGCTGGAAGTTCAAATTCTCCGCATGGTCTTTTCTTTCGACATGCAGGGCACAGGTCCCAAGTTTATCCTTATTTTTCTTGTTTTGCATTCTCATGAGTGACAAATAAATTGTGTACTCATCTGGTTTAGAGTGTTTTATTTATTTTTTATTCTCTGCTTCCCTCTATAAACACGGCCTATTTGAGTGTGTGTTCTCCTCGTTAATTGTTTTGCCTGATGATTGTCCACCTTTGCCCTAAATTACAGGCGACCTACAGTCCAGATACCCTCATCTTTTCTTCTCTATTCACCTTATGATTTTTCTGAATGACAGGGATAAGGTTGTTGATTTCCACTGGAATTCATCAGACCCGTGGACAATTGTCAGTGTCTCTGAAGATGGTGAAAAAACTGGTGGGGGAGGTACACTACAGGTACCAACAAATTTCCTTGTGCTTGAGTTTAGCCTTTACCTACTAGGCCATCCATTATAATATATTGGTAAAAGTAGTGATATAGACTGTTTAAAAATGAGTATCTGGGTACTGAGGCAATTTTTCTTAACGATGTCAGGGTAAGCCTTGAGGTGTTTTGAGGCGTAAGCCTCACAGTAAACCAAAAAAATGTTAAAAAATTTATTAAAATGCAAAATAAGTTCATAATACATGATAAACAATCTTCAAAATTCATAATAGAACAATTTAGAGTTTGTTTGGATGAGATTTTTCTAAGTGAAAAATGATTTTTTTTTTTTTTTCCTTTTTGTTTTTGGGGAGAATTTGTGATTAAAAAGTAGGGAAAATGATGAGTCCCTTAGAATTTACTTTTGAATGTTTTATTGGATATCCTGAAAATGAGTCTATGAGAATTTTTATGTTGTGGGGACCATGAGCCTTGAGGTGGTGTTGTGAGGCGTATGTCTAACGCAACTGAGGCATACGCCTTCTTGGCATGCTAGATCATATAACATTACTGGCTAAATGGTGTATGCTATCCATGGTCTGTTGTGGAAATTATGGCTGGACTATTTTCGTGCAGATTTGGCGAATGATGGATATGCTTTACCGTCCAGAAGAAGAGGTTCTTGCCGAGCTTGATAAGTTCAAATCTCACCTACTGACGTGTGCCTCTTGATTTCATTCTGGAATGTGGAGAAACTTTGGCCTTCTTATAACCTTTTTGTAAATTTTATGTTCATGTTTTAGTTGACAAACCAACTAAATTTTCTCCTTAATGCCTGCTTGAGTACATTTTGTTTTGCAAATTCGTTAGCATGGCATAAACAGGTCGGTTTAAAATGGAACTGGTCCAGTAATCTATGCAAACCCTGTTTGCTATCCAATTAGGTGTAAGCTGTTTGGGGGTTCTATGTAGAATAATTCTATGTAGCTCACTGTGGTTACAATCTCAATCTAATTGGCGTGGATGAACTAAATGGAAGGTATAATTAAATGACTACCTATAGACTAGGTTCATAACTCCAGTGGAGTTAAATAACATTTCTCTTCTATGCATCCCTATAATTTACAAACATGTTCTGCGCTAGTCTTTTATTGCTAAATTTGTTAGAGGAGCCGTTAAATTTGCATGTATGGTCAACAAGCTTGATTTTACATGATAATTGAGGAGTATTTTGCCCTCGTTTGAAATTGATTTTGTCAAAAGACAGCGCATCCTAAAAAAAATATCAATTTTCAATTTAGTTGAATTTTGTTTCTAATTTTGTAGAATGGCTTCTTACATTGTGGGTGTAGTTTTCTTTAAAAGGTTTTTTTAAACAAAGTATTTTTGACAATTATTCGAAAGATTCAAAAGTACTTTCTTAATCTTAATTTTTTAATCTTTGAAATTTTGAGTATGTTTGGCAGGCTTTAGTTAAGAAAGTCTGACTTTACAAGGGGAAATTGTTGCAATGTAGGTCAAAATTTCAGAACTTATATAAAATAGATTACGGATAATTGAGTAATTTTGAGGACTAAATTAGAATGATTTAAAGATGAAAGAACAAGATTACAAAGGAGAAAGGATGGAGGATAAGTAGACTGAACTTGCTGACCAAAATGAAATTCGATCGTGGCTCCTCAACGC